CAAACCGAAGTATTTCGGGTACCCGAATATATCCGAAAGAGATTTATATACCTATATATATTAGTTGTTTTTAGATTTAATGTATATATAAAAAACATTCAATATATATAAAATACGTTGTAGTTGTTCAAAATACTTGTAAATATATGTAAATAGTCAAACATACATGTTTAAAATTACTAAAGTACACTTAAAACATAAAAAATACTTTAAAAAATTATTGATTCACAATCCAAATATTCAAATCAAACTAATTTATATGTTAATTTTAGGCATTTTGACTTATGTTATTCAATTATTTGTAATATGTTATTTTCTTTATAGATTTTTAGAAATGTAAAGTATATAATCAATTTTAAAATTTTAAAAATAATTTAAATGGGTGATTTGCAGGAGACGGTCTATATGAAGCAGCCGGCAGGTTTTGTTGATACTGAGAATCCATGTCATGTTGGGAAACTGAATAAGTCCATCTACGGGCTTAAGCAAGCTCCCTGCGCCTGGTTCGATAAGTTCAGTTCGTTTTTTATAGAATTTGGCTTCTGTTGCTCCAAGTCTGACCCATCTTTGTTCGTCTACAAAACAGAGAAAGATATCATCATATTGTTACTATATGTTGATGATATGGTGATCACATGCAACAGTTCAGAGAGTCTATCTTGACTATTACAACAACTCAACAGAGAATTCAGGATGACAGATATGGGACGTCTTCACTATTTCTTGGGTATACAAGTTCAGTCTCACGACAAGGGTCTATTCCTATGTCAACAAAAATACGCTGAAGACTTACTTGCTATTGCCGGAATGTCTGAGTGTGAACCTATGCCCACTCCACTTCCTCAGCAACTGAACAGAGTTGAAGATAAGTCTCCATTTTTCTCTCATCCGACTTATTTCAGAAGCCTTGCAGGGAAGCTTCAGTATTTGACACTTACAAGACCGGATCTCCAGTTTGCAGTCAATTACGTCTGTCAAAAAAATGCACTCTCCGACTGTCTCTGATTTCAACCTGCTAAAGAGAATCATAAGATATGTTAAGGGTACTCTCAAAATGGGGCTATCTCTTCACAAAGATGCAGATTTCACTCTCACTGCATACAGTGACAGTGATTGGGCTGGATGTAGCTCTACAAGAAGATCGACAGGAGGTTACAGTACATTTCTAGGGAAAAATCTCATCTCTTGGTCCTCTAAGAAACAACCTATTGTATCTCGAAATTCTACGGAAGCAGAATATAAAACTCTCTCTGAGACAGCTTCAGAGATTATCTGGTTGTGTTCGATCTTCAGGGAGCTTGGTCTTCCGCTTCTGACCACACCACTATTGCTGTGTGACAACTTGTCAGCTGTGCTTCTCTCTGCTAATCCCTCCTTTCACTCTTGAACCAAGCACTTCGCTCTTGATTATCATTACGTCAGAGAAAGGGTAGCTCTCGGAGCATTAGAGGTGAAGCACATCTCGAATCAGCATCAGATCGCGGACATATTCACCAAATCTCTCCCGCATGCAGCTTTCTCCTCTCTCAAAAGCAAACTTGGTGTCGCTTCGATCGGTACATAAAGTTTGAGGGGGCCTATTGACACAAGTGGCTCAAACCCAGCTTCTGAAAAGCCCATCAACCAAAATCTGAGGCCCAGTTCGTTAAAAACCAAAACGCAGTGTTTTGTACTTAGTCAGCAACGGTCTTCTTCCTGCACACAAGACAAAACAGAGATTAGGAATAAAGCAGTTTACAGAAATCAGAGGATAGAGGACAAGAAAGCTCATCAATGGCTGTCACAATTCAAAACCGTTATGCAGCACTACAAGACGAAGAAGCCTAATGACAAAACTCTATTCTCATTTTACTATAAATGTAACACTCATGATGTAAGAAACGGTTATCCAAAAATAATAAGATAAAAGTTCAGAAAACTTATCTTTGCGGTCTTGCGTTCAGTTCACACATCCAGAACTTTCACAAGGGGAGACTTAGAGAGAGATGATTTTTTATAGTTTTCACTCTTCTTTTTTGTTTATTTCTCTCCTCTGATTTTCACTCTGATGTTAAAGGAGAGAAGAAGAGTGTTTTTTATTTTGTTTTGTAATTTACGATCATATAGATCGATTTTGTTGTGTGTTTTCAATCCAATCCAGAGTTGATTGTCAAGTGTTTCTGTTGTCTCTGTTTTATTGGATTGAACAGAATTAAGTTCTGGTCAGTTTATGATCAGATATCGTTTTATCAAAGTATACTACTTCCGGCCAATCTCTCTACAGTTGGAAGCGACTATCCTTGATGGATGGAGTAATATCGTGCTTGCTTATACCGCAGTCCTTAGTGGGCGGTTGAAGATCTGCGGGTTATGGTTACCGAGCCCGAGGACGTGGGCACGCTTCTGTCGGATGTTGATGAAGATTGAAGATAGAAAGGTTGGTGATTGAGGAGAAGCTACTGGGATTGGTACCGGTGTTTGAGCTCCTTTATAAAACATAAGACACAAGATTACTACGACGGAGATGGAAGATGTGGAGGCAAAATGGAAAGGAGCATGGTGGTGCAGCTTCTCGTTGAGCGAACTTCCCGTTTCTTCAGAGGAGGCCACGTGTTTTCTAGAGTAATACAAGATTCTCTCCATGGCTGTCCACCGCTTTCACAAACGTATCAAATTGTTTTAATTAAAACTCTCTTGTTGTTGCTTAGGCCTTATTTTAATAGCCTATACCAATGTAAACTTTACCCTTTGGTCTTTTAATGCAATGTTTAGTAACTTAGTAGGACAATATATAGAATAAAGTCCGAAGAATATTCACACCCACGGTCTCTTTTTTCTTGTCAGAATTGTCAAATTAGAAGCTATTACGTCTTCTTTATAAAAAGAAGTCTCTTTTTTCTTGTCAGAATTGTCAAAATTAGAAGCTCTTACGTCTTCTTCTTTATAAAAGGAAATGAACATTCATTTAACAAGAATTTTCTCTTCTTGGTTCAGTTGCCAAAATGGAAGAAGAAAACTTTTCTTTGTACGCTATGATCTTATCAAGCTCCTCTGTTCTTCCCATGGTTCTGAAGACATCCATAGATCTAGGCCTCTTCACCATCCTATCCGAAGCTGGCCCTTCTTCTCCCCTCTCTGCTTCTCATATTATGTCTCTCTTGTCACAAAAACACCATGATTCAACCTTACTCAATCGGATTCTTCGATGTCTAGCGAGCTATTCCATACTCACGTGCTCTGTTTCCACTGACCAAGGCGAGCCACGTGAGGTCTACGGCTTAGCTCCTGTTGCCAAGTACTTCACCAAGAACCCAGGTTTAGGTGGCTCCTTGGCTCCGTTGGTTAATCTGTTTCAGGACAAGGTCGTGACTGACATCTGGTAAATTCATTAACAACTACCTAAACTCTTTTTTATCTGAAACATACATGATGCCCTCCTCTGTCTTGTTGTGCTGTCCTGAAGTAATCTGATTAACTATCGATTTTATTTAGGTACAACCTTAAAGATTCTGTTCTTGAAGGAGGACTTCCGTTCAACAAGGCTCATGGTTCGAGCGCAGTCGAACTGGTCGGCAGAGATTCAAGATTCAGACAAGTGTTCCAAAGCTCCATGAAAGGTTTCAATGAAGTTTTCATGGAAGAAGTTGTGAATAAGTACAAGGGTTTTGATGGTGTGAAGTCATTGGTTGATGTTGGTGGTGGAGATGGCTCTATTCTCCATAAAATAATCTCCAATCATCCTCACATCATCAAAGCTATTAACTTTGACTTGTCCTCTGTTATCAACACTTCACCAGTTTCTTCAGGTATGTTGTATAATACAAGTTCTTGCATATATTCTGTTGCATGGTGAAATGATATTGTGGGTTTTAGGTATTGAGAATGTTGCTGGAGACATGTTTACAAGCATTCCTGAAGGAGAAGCAATTTTCATGAAGGTTAGTTCAATTGAAAGTTCCATCTCGTGAGTCTTAACAGAAAAAGCTAACAATGGATTTCTTGTGTGTTATGTTACAACTACAACAGTGGATACTCCATAGCTGGGACGATGAACATTGTGTGAAGATACTCAGAAACTGTCATCAATCGCTACCGGCAAATGGTAAGGTGATTGTGATCGATATGGTAATCCCGGATTTTCCTAGAGATACACTTTTACACAGAAGCTTGTTTCAGTTTGAGATGTTCATGACGAGCATGAACCCGTCTGGGAAAGAAAGAACAAAGAAAGAGTTCGAGGTATTAGCTTGCCTCGCTGGATTTTCTAGTGTCCAAGTTCCATTTACATCTCTCTTCTCTGTTGTTGAATTACACAAGAGTGCGTGATATGTATGATAAGAACTTGTATGTATTGAGATTAAGAACCTCCCAACCACCATCTCTTAGACTCTACAAATCAAAGTATTAAGCCTTTCATAAATCTCACAAACCAAGATCTCAAGCCACAACTGATTCCTTCTGAATGAATTACAGAAACAACTAACGAGTCCTTTATATACTAAGACTCGTTTACAATCTTCTAACTGACGTTAACTAACTTGCCAGTTCAGCATTCTCTTTAGTCATTCCCTCGTTGATATGCCTCTTCCTTCTTGAGATATAAACTCTCGTTGGCATATCATATCAATACTCTCCGGATGAAGAACGAGCTTGTCCTTAAGCAAATAACCTGGAAACTCATGTTTCAACTCCGACAAACACATTTCCGCCGTGAAAGAAAGGGGGCACAAGGATATGCTTCAAGGCCGATGTGGACTTTCAGGTACAGAGTCAATGATGGAAGTGACTTTCTTCTGTAGCTCAGGTTTGTTAGCTCCCACAAGCTTCCCTATTTGCTGACCATTCTTTAAGAAAAAGAAGGTTGGTGTTGCCTTTATGTCCCATGATGAGCTAAAATCCTGCACATGTCACAAAATAAAACAAAAGTTTTAAGATTTAGTTGAAGATTATGTAAAGAAGGAGAAGCTATGATGGGTAACTTACGCAGAGTTCATCAACATCAACAAGAAGGAACATGATAGAAGGATGTTTCTCAGAGAGCTCGATGTAAAACGGTGCCACGACCTTACAAGGCCCACACCAAGTCGCGCTGAAGTTTGCAATAACCTGATTTTTGATATGGTTTATAAGAATTTAGAAAAAAACACAAACACACTACATACTGAGAGGATTATGAAAGGGCAAAATTTACTATTTTGCCATCACGGTCAGCTTCTGCTAATTTCTCATCCCAGCTTTCTTTTGTTGTGATGAGATGAACATTGCCACCGGCAAAATCAACGTTATGGACTGAATCATCATCGTCTTTGCCCTATCGTACCATCGCATCATAATAAAAGAACAAATAAAAATCAAATTATTTATTCATGCGACAAGAAGCAAAGAAAGAACCAAACCAAAGGGTTTTCATGTCGTACCTTAGAGACACAGCTTCCCATCTGAAAAATCGATTACTGAAACACAAAGTCTTTTTCTTTTTGTTATTTACAAGTCCCTGTCATAAAAAAAACAAGAGGAAGCTTTTCAGTTCATCGAATTTCGAAAAACATTATAAAAACGAAAAGATAGAATTTAACGTACCAATAGAATCTGAAACGGTAATAACGAGACCTTTTGGAGATTGGAAACGATCAGAGAGGCTAAAGGGTTGAAGATTTTTGATAGAAAGAAAGAAGAGAACAAGAGAGAGAGAGAATGAAGACGACACCTAAATTTTCTGCTGTTTTGGAAGAGAGAGGAATTAAGAATGAAATTATCAAAGACGACGTCGTTATGATGAGAAGAAAAAATACCAAATTAGATTTTGTTTTTTTTTTTTTTTTCTGATCAAAAGATACCAAATTAGATAAAAACGTGAAGGAAATTAGAAAAAACTCTCTTCTCTCTCTTCTCTGTAGAGAGATAAAGTTCTCTTTCCCTTGTTCATATTGACACAAGTGGCTCAAACCCAACTTCTGAAAAGCCCATCAACCAAAATCTGAGGCCCAGTTCGTTGAAGACCAAAACGCAATATTTTGTACTTAGTCAGCAACAGTCTTCTTCCTGCACACAAGACAAAACAGAGGTTAGAAAAAAAGCAGCTTACGAAAATCAGAGGAGAGAGGACAAGACAGCTCATCAATCCCAGGCTGTCACAATTCAAAACCGTTATGTAGCACTACAAGACGAAAAAGCCTAATGGCAAAACCCTATTCTCACTTTACTATAAATGTAACACTCATGATGTAAGAAACGATTATCCAAAAATAATAAGATAAAAGTTCAGAAAACTTATCTTTGCGGTCTTGCGTTCATGGTATCAGAGCACACGTTGCTACCATGGATCTTGAGCCTTATGAACCTCCTCGCCTAAACATCATTCACTGTGTCACAGTAAAGCTCAATGAGCAAAACTTTTTCTTCTGGAAACGTCAGTTTCAGTCTTTTCTCAGTGGCCAACGCTTGTTCGGGTTTGTTACCGGTCATCATGCTCAGCCAGTGGCTACCATCATGGCACCTACCATCAATGGCACTTCCACACCGGTTCCCAATCCCGACCATGAGCTTTGGTTCCAGACAGATCAGGTCATTCAATCGTGGCTCCTTGGATCTATCACAGATTCTCTTCAATCCTTGGTGGTGAACTGCTCGACAGCTCACGAGATCTGGTCCACGCTCGAGACCCACTTCAACAGACCATCAAACTCGCGCATGTTTGAGCTGCAACACAAGATGCAAACTTTATCAAAAACTGATAAAAAGATGTTTGATTTTCTTCAAGAAGTCAAATCTCTCAGTGATCAACTTGTCTCTATAGGTGCTCCTCTTACTGAAGCAATGAAGATTTTTTTGGCTCTTCGTGGTCTGGGACGTGATTATGAGCCTATCAAGACAGCTATTGAAGGTTCCATTGACACTGTCCCACCTCCAACGTTCGACTCTATTATTCCACGCTTAGTAGCATTCGATGACAGACTCAAAAGCTACACCAGTGGCGGAGAGGTTACTCCTCATCTTGCTTTTGTGTCTGTTCGTACGAATCAGCAGGGTTACTCCTCTTGTGGTCATGGTGGTCGCCGAGGAAGAGGTCGTGGCTCATACTCTACTAGAGGAAGAGGCTTCACTTAACAGATTTCTTCTGATGGTGATACACGTGTGGTCTGTCAGATCTGTGGCCGTGGTGGACATTCTGCTCTGAAATGCTATCACCGCTTCGACAACAGTTATCAACTTGAAGATGTTCCACAAGCACTTGCGGCTATGCGAATCACTGATGTCACGGATGATGCCGGTTCTGAGTGGTATCCTGATTCCGCTGCTTCTGCCCATATCACAAACTCCACCAGTCACAACAATATCAAGGATCCGACAGTGTTATGATAGGTGATGGAAGCTACTTACCTATCACTCACACAGGTTCCACTACTATCGCTTCTTCCTCAGGTAATCTCCCTCTCAAAGATGTTATTATGTGTCCTCAGATTGCAAAATCTTTACTTTCGGTATCCAAGGTCACCAATGATTATCCTTGTTCTGTGAAATTTGATGATTTTGGGGTATCTATAAAGGACAAGAACACAAAGTGGGTTCTCATCTGGGGCAGAAAGGATAATGGTCTCTACAGAGTGAAGAACATGCCAGCAATAAATGCTCTATACTCCTCTAGACAGCACACTGCTACAGACGCTGTTTGGCATAAGCGGCTTGGGCATCCACATCAGCAAGTTCTTCAACATATGTCTGCACAAAACCTTATCAAAATAAGTTCAAGTACCAAGAAGATGTGTTAATCGTGTCAACTTGGGAAGAGCAGTAGTTTACCTTTTCAAGCTTCTACCTTTGTTGCAAAGCGGCCTTTAGAGAAGATTCACTGTGATCTCTGGGGACCTGCACCAACTACTTCGGTTCAGGGTTTCAGATTTTATATAATCTTTATTGATCACTGGTCACAGTTTTGTTGGATTTACACTATGAAATACAAGTCAGATTTCTTTTCAATCTTTTGCAAATTTCAAGCATTAGTAGAGAATCAACTACGTAGCAGAATTGGTACCTATCAATGTGATGGTGGTGGCGAGTTTACCAGTTCTGTCTCTCTCTCTCTCTCATTTGCAAGAAAATGGAATCAAACAACAACTCTCGTGTCCGCATACTCCTCAGCAAAATGGACTTGCTGAGAGGAAGCATTAGGGCTTGGAAAAAAACCCGGATCCGAAGAACCGAACCGAACCCGATCCGAAAAAGTAGTATCGAATCCGAACCGAAATTGATTCAATATCCGAATGGGTTCAAAATTTTGGTATTTAAAGAACCGAAACCGAACCCGACCCAAACCGAAGTATTTCGGGTACCCGAATATATCCGAAAGAGATTTATATACCTATATATATTAGTTATATTTAGATTTAATGTATATATAAAAAACATTCACTACTATAGTACACTTAAAACATCAAAAATACTTTAAAAAATTATTGATTCACAATCCAAATATTCAAATCAAACTAATTTATATGTTAATTTTAGGCATTTTGACTTATGTTATTCAATTATTTGTAATATGTTATTTTATTTATATATTTTTAGAAATGTAAAGTATATAATCAATTTTAAAATTTTAAAAATAATTTAAATAGGTTATCCGAACCCGAACCGAACTCGCAAAGATCCGAACCGAACCCGAACCGAAATTTAGAAATATCCGAATGGGGCTAAAATATGTGAACCCGAAAACCCGAAACCCAAATAGATCGGAACCGAACCCGAATGGGTACCCGAACGCCCACCCCTAATTTAAAAGGAGAAGAGGAGAGGGTTCACATGTTCTCTTTGGAGGAGAGAAAGATTTTGAAGAATTCAGAGACCGAGGAAGAGGCATAATGAGGAAGAAGAATAAACACAAGTTCGTATACTAAAACTACTGATGAATATGTTTTGTCGGTAATTTGGGGTAGTTATATTATTAGCCTGTTCATGAGCTTTTAGGCAATACATTTTCTTGGGTCATTTTCAATAAATATGGATTATTCATAGGTAAAATTAATTAAATTAATTTAATTGGCTGGTTGATCACTTTCGAGATAAAAATATGCCTAATTTGTCAGAAAATGTTGAAAAAATTGCATATTGTGTGATTAGTCAATCAGCACACTGAAACCCCAATTCCATTGGAAATCCGACAAAAATGTTAACGGATTACCGATGGGTTTGGGTTTTAAAAACAAAAAACAAATAGATAGAC